AACCTCTTCTATAGAAGAGGTTCCACAAATCTACAGTGCCGTTTAGAACCGGTTCCAGCCCTCCCTCCCCCATCCACACATCATCAAGATGAAGAGCGAGAGGAGGAATTCTGGGAGTTGAAGTCCACAAGTCTTAAAGCTATCAAGTTACAAGACCCTTGCACCCCTTACTCTTTAGAAAAAAACCAGGGGTGTTCAAACTTGACAGCTTTAAGACTTGTGGACTTCAACTCCCAGAATTCCTCCTCTCGCTCTTCATCTTGATGATGTGTGGATGGGGGTGGGTGGGCTGGAACCGGTTCTAAACGGCACTGTAGATTTGTGGAACTTCTTTTATAGAAGAGGTTAGAACTGGCAGGAACCCATCCCTGGATGGGCGGCATATAGATTTAATAAATAAATAAGTGAAAATGATTCTTTAGTTATTTCAGCTTTCAACGGATGCATTCAGAACTGTATAGCATGTTACAGTGTATGAATTTATCTTATAGCTCATTGTCCTTATCTGAATACAAACAATAACTCCTAAGCCCACTCTGAAGGAATTCTCATTTCTTACCACATGAAATGACACGAATACTGACAAAATGTCATTTCTGAGGCATTGGGAGAAAATGTGGTGCTTGCCAGTATGCTGATTTGGATGTCTGTCACTGCAAATAGGGTGAACCACTTTCTTCGAGAAAGATCATATACACAAACTCCTCTGCCATTTGTGAAGGTAAAACCCCCTTCAGGGGGTGAATTGTTTTTGAGAAACCGCTCTTGAACTAAGAAAAATATGACTTTTGTTTCCTTTGTTTATTTCTCATAAGATGCTTCCCGTCTTACATTTTAAAAAAAGTTGTTAAAAGAAATGAATTTGCCTTGAAAATTCAGATTAGCAGCACAGAAATTTGGTTTAGTCCAAATTTCTGGGTGTCTTATTAGTGGAAGCCTAGAAACAGTTATTATTAATATTATTTGTTTTTTTTCTATCCACGCAGAAGGTGATTTAACCGTTACAGTCAAGGGTTCTTTTGAAGAAACACAGAAGATTTCATTGGGTCCTGATTCCAGTCAGAGTAGTAGTGACATCATTAAATTTCATTATATCAAGAACCATCAGTCAAATCTGGAGATCACATTACCTACAAAAATATGTTGGTCAAAGGTATCGTTATCCTGGATAGTACTGCTTCAATGGTTATATGGCTGAAATAAATGAAGAAGGAAATGTTTTGACAAATTTTGTTACCCTGATTTAATGTTTCTTCACCTCAGCAACTTTAAGTTGTGTGGACTTCATCTTAAAGCTATTGAAGTTGAGAATCTCAGTCCTGAATCCACTTGCTCAATTTAATTTGTTAGATTGAGAAAAAAGGACTAATTGTTTTCAACGTTTTTTTTAGGACAGTTCTTTCCCAATTTGTCTCAGGGACAAAGGTTCCAAAATACAATCTTCATTTTTGCACCCCCTTTTTAAGTTTAAGTTTATATCCAATAAACCTTGTCCACCTAAGTGGGGAACCAACTACTCTCTATTACAACTTGCAAATATTGTACAATCTATTCGTGAGAGCTAGGGCATCTTCTAAAGTAGATTTGGAGAAAGTGAATTCAGCTGCTAGAGAGAGCAAAAGCTGGGAAAATTCTGACTGCAGAAGTAAATACTGGTTGCACCCTTCAGAAATGTCATTTATTTTTTATAATTTAAAAAATCTATCTATCTATCTATCTATCTATCTATCTATCTATCTATCTATCTATCGATCGATCGATCGATAGATAGATAGATAGATAGATGTCATCTATCATCTAGTATTAATCTGTGTTTCAGCATGTAACATTTATGTATTAAATGTTCACAACTTTTTTTCTTTTAAGTGCTTATATATATATATATATATATGTATCTATTTAGCTGGCTTCATTGGAAGGAAAGTCAACTGTGATTTTGCCTTTGATTGAACTTCCTTTACAAGAGAAAATAATGCTTGGAGAGGTGAGCTCTTTTTCTTAATGGAAATGATACATGAATTTAAATGAGAATTGAGGAACTATGGAATAGAGAGAGATTTATAGATAAATGTATAAATGTATATACACATACTCCACCACTCAGAACCTGTGTTCACATTTTGGGGATCCCCTGGACTCTTGACTGCCAACATATACATACAAACATATCAGTGGCGTGCGGTGAGGTTTATGGCTGGTGAGGCACTGACATCATCACAATCTTTTTATTAAAATGCCTTTGTAATACAGGGGTTTTTAATAAAAGGATCCACGCCGTTTTGTCCCATCCTTGCGCGTTTTGAAGGGGTGGCGGGCAAGAACGTATTGCCGAGGACCATAAGCGGTGACCACCAGTGGCCAACAACAACTAAAAAAGAGAAAAAGATTTTCTTTCTTATTTTTTGCGGGGGGGAGGGGAGCAAGGAGCCAAGGAGTTCCTTGTTGTGTTTTCCACAAGGGATGACAGTCCCTCCGAGGAGGTGGGGGAGGAGAGAGAGAGAGATGATGATGATGATGATGTAAAAGGCGAAAGATTTATATGATCTGAAGAGAAACCAGATGATGATGATGATGACAATTAAGTATCAAAAACCTTTTGAGTTTGACAATATAATACATTATCCATTATAAAGGTTATAAATAATCTTATTTTCAGATGCATTTTTTTGCCATCTCTGTTTTTTTCTTTTTAAAAAATCAGACTTGCTTCCAATTTGTGCCTTCTGGCAAACTACAGTTTTCTTGGTAAGAGATCTAGCTTTCCATTGCTTTCCTCATAGGTATGAGAAAATTTATTTATTTATTTATTTATTTATTTATTTATTTATTTATTTCCTTCCTTCCTCCCTCCCTCCCTCCCTCCCTCCCTCTTTCTTTCTTTCTTTCTTTCTTTCTTTCTTTCTTTCTTTCTTTCTTTCTTTCTTTCTTTCTTTCTTTACCCCTGATTTGTTTCCCTCTCTTTTCTCTCTCTCCCATTCTCAGGTCAGTGCGAGCCACGGTCCCCTTTATGTTGGCTCAGGAAGGAGGGGAATGGGACCGCGGCTCATGCTGACCTGAGCCTAGCGCTGAGGAGTCTCCTGCACAGCGTGGCTCTTCTCTGCAGCGCAGCGGAAGGAGTTGCTGTCCCCGCCACTGTGATCCTGGGGAATTTTTTAGAGGCTTTTTTAAGTCATCCACGGTGAGGCAGCAACTAGCTCAGCTTTTTCCTTTTACATTTTTTTTCTTTTCATGATGGGAGTGGTGAGGCTGTGCCTCCCCTGCCTCACCTGACTGCACGTTACTGAAACATATACACTTATTTTGAAATAAGTTTTATTGAGTAAGTATGTATGTATATATTTACAGTATCTATGTGCTGCCTCAACTCCTATGGACTTGAACCACCAAAATTCTATGCCTACGATTCTGGTTCCTAATAATTGTTTCAAAAGAAGTCCCATAAAACAAAAAACAACTACAGAAGGGGAATGATTTTGTGAATAGGAAATCTGTTGTTAACATCAGATATAATTTTAACTGTATATTAGATCTAAAACTTAAATTGATTTAATAACAAGATTGGGTTGTTCTTTATCCTTCCTTAATTACAAAGACATAGAATAGTGAATGATATGCCTGATAATATGTTTATTCCCTTGATTTTCAGAATGAATCTTTTGATGTACATGTGAAGACAAAAGAATGGTACAATATCAGCTTTTAAAGATAATAAAGGAGCAACATCTTACATAATTTTATTTTAAAATAAGATTCTCTGATCTTTATTCAAGGAAAATTCATTTTAATGAGACTTAATATTTAAACCCTACTGAAATTAAGTATGCAAAGCTAGTAATGTCATTAAGTTTCAAAATTCCTAATATAAAAAAATGGTGATTTATTATTTTACCCTACTGCAACTGATTTCTGAGCAGTCTGAATATTTTTTAACATACAATGAAATTCCACCTCCATTGCTCTATCTTCCATTCATTTTGAACATCCTTTACCCTTGAAGTGCTACTGTATATTCCAATTGACTTATGAAGTCACCATTATACCTCTGATTCACATTTGCCTTCCTGTGCTAAAATTCAAGCTCATTTTGTTTCCTTTTCTCATTCTGAGCATTAAATGATAAACAATAAAAGACAATTATAAACAATTGAAAACTGCATCCAGTTTTGGTAACCACATTACAAAATGATGTTGAGACATTGGAAATAGTGCAGAGAAGATCAATTAAGAGGTTGAAAGGCCTGGAGACTAAAACATATGAAGAACGGTTTCAGGATTTGGGTATGGCTAGTTTAGAGAAAAAAAGGGTTAGGGGTGATATGATAGTAGTGTTCCAGTATTTGAGGAGCTGCCACAAAGAGGAGGGGGGAGTCAACTTATTTTCCAAAAGCACTAGAGGGCAAGACAAGAAACAACAGATGGAAACTAATTAAGGAGAAAAGCAAGCTAGAACTAAGGAGAAACTTCCTAACAGTGAGAACAATTAACCAGTGGAATAGCTTGCCTTCAGAAGTTGTGGGCGTTTCAGCACTGGAGACTGCACAGCCATTTGCAGGAATGGTATAGGGTCTCCTACTTGAGCAGGGATTGGACTAAAAGACCTTCAAGATTCCGTCCAGCTCTATTCTGATTAGATTAAAGCCATGAAATAAAACCATGTTCTCCCTGACTTTTCTAATTGTACAGTGTAAGAGGGCCTACTGTAGTAACACTTCAAACTTCTTTTGCAAAACACAAGCCTTTATCTGATGTTTGTATTCCAGAGGCTTGTTTTTCTCTTTTCCAACTTCACAAGGTGTTACCAGTCCCATCATGTGGATAATCCTAATCATATTTTGAGAACCAAAAAAGGTCTTTAGTCATTTAGCTGTAGTATTTTTCTTTCTTTTTCTAGTCCTCTTCCATGGGCAGGAAGTATGGATAGAAAAAACAAACACCTGTGTTCTTGACCATTCTCTTAGATGATCCAGGGAAGTTCTTCCTAGCAATGTTACATGCCCCCACATGAATTGGGGGAAGGATAATTTTATTTATTCAATTACTTTCTGTAGCTTCCCATATCAATCAGTGACTTGCTTCTTCAGTTCTTTTACTGAAGCTCTTGTTTTAAATCAGAACATAAACGTAAGTTCAGAGGTTTCGTTCAATTTCATCTCTGTTTCTTAAAGTGCCATTAGTCTAAGTCTTTATTTCTTTTTCCCTTTTCATATTCTCATTTTACTAAGCTTTGCCTTAAGAATACTTGTTTAAGATTGCCCTTGAACAGAGGTGGACTTCAGATAATTTAACAACTGGTTCACCTAATGCAGAACCGAAAATGTGAGCCCGCGCACACAGGCCAATTTAATGTGCCCAACTTCCAGCACAACTTCTTGGGCAGCCGCGGTGAGTAGAGCTGGGCTTTGTGGGTGGGGCGAGTGAGCCAGAGAGTGAGCTATATAGATTTGGATAGTGCTGGGGCGGGTGGGTTGGCCCAGTTGGTGGTCAGAACTATCAGTTCGCCCGAACTGGTCCGAACCGGCAGCAGCCCACCTCTGCCCTTGAACTCTATCTGCTAGATCCAAGGGAGAAACACCTCTTAGATTTCTCTGTTCATTCAGTGACCAAACTTTCTGAAAATTGGATGCTTTATATTTACAGCTTTTGCTTTCTTAGCAAGAAATAGTCACTGACTCATTCATGGTGGGCAATCAACATTTCTCAGATACAGCCTTTGTAATCATCCACTGTTAAGGAATTGAGCTTCCTTCCCCCATACCTGAACACACCACATAGCTTCTGTGATCATTTCCCTGCTGTTGTTACACTCTGACATTTCAAGAGGTCTGGAAGTCCTAAATATTTAGTTTCCATCCCAGATTGAAGCAGATTCAATTTCTTTATGAATTCTAGTTAAGAATTCCTTCCTGAAATGCCTGCTTAATGGTAAATGTAAAACCATTTTACCATAAAGGTAAAATGATTTGAGATTGACTTATTTCTCTGCCAGCTCATCCTAGTATCTCTTGTTTCCTGTTCCAAAACATTGGACTTACTTACTTACTTCCAATCACCTCTGGGTAGTTCCCAATCAATATACATAATGTATATATAATATTAATCTTTCAGGATAAACTCCAGTCATAAGATGACAACTGTGATAACAAAACATTAAGCAATTAATAAAAATATTAATATTTAAATTGCCACAAAATCCATGTTTATTCTTACGCCACAAACTATTGTGGTTATACTTCTGTAAATAAACAGTATGATAATCTTAAGACTGTTTAGTTAGTTGATATGTTAATAGAGGCTGGATTGCAAAATATAAATTATTATATTTCAGGCCTAAAGAACTAGATGAGCGCTTAGGGTATGATTTGTGTGCAGAGGAACAAGATTTCCTAAGGAAGAGAAAGAAATATGTTGCTGCTGCCCTCAAGAAGACTCTTGGGAGGAAAGAACTGAAAGATGATGAGGTAGGTCAAGCAGGGACATATCCACTTTATTTATTTGTTTGTTTATTTATTTTGTCAAACATGTATGAGATAACAGATATAAGTATAAACATGGACATGAACACAGGAAATGGGTACGAATAAATGGGGACAGTACAACAGGGACGGTAGGCATGCTGGTGCACTTATGCACGCCCCCTTACAGACTTCTTAGGAATGGGGTGAGGTCCACAGTAAATAGTTTAAGGTTAAAGATATGGTGGTTTGAGGTTGTAGCAACACAGTCAAGTAGTGCATTCCAGGCATTGACCATTCTGTTGCTGAAGTCATATATTCTGCAATCGAGTTTGGAGCGGTTTACTTTGAGTGTATCTATTGTTTTCCCATGTATTATTGCAGTTGAAGCTGAAATAGTCATTGACAGATAGGACATTGTAGCAGACAATTTTGGTAACTACGCTTAGATCATACCTTAATCGGCATAGTTCTAAGTTGTCCAAGCCCAAATTTTCAAGCCTATTGTGAGCAGAGGAGTGGAGTACTCTTCTTGTGAAACACCTCTGAACTCACTCAATTGTATTTTGTTTTTTACTTTGTTTTATTGCCCCAATAAATTTAGAGCAAATTGCTAATTCTATTTATTATATTAGCATAATATATTCTGTGGCAAATTGCCATTAGCAGCTAAAACACCCTTCTGTAGGTTCAGCAATGCCAAACATTAATGGGTGTGTAGAGAGAAGTGAAGAATAAAGGAGAGATGCCAATAAGAAGGATATAGTGTTTTTTCTTTCAACTGGAAGAAAATAAGTTAGTCATCTTGGCTGCTAAAAGTATAATTTGAATATTAACTTATTTTTTACAGCTGAGTTCAAATGGTGTCAAAACTAGGTGAATTGGGTAGACAATTGCTCAGAATGTCTACAGGGAAAGGACAACCTCTACAACAGTTTCTCCAGCGTAGGACACCTCTTTTGTTAGGGTCCTCAATCCTCGCTCAACCACTACCCTTTTCAGTGATCATTTGAAGGTATAAGGACCTTACCATTGGACCTCACATGACTGTTTCAGACTCTCCATAGTCATGATTAGGATATGGTTGCTTTGGAACTGGTGGCCATTTCTCTGCATCCCATGGCCAAGTGTACATCAGTTGTATCAATGGCGGGATTCAAATTCTTTCACTACCAGTTCTATGGGCGTGGCTTGGTGGGCATGGTTTGGTGGGAGTGGCAGGGGAAGGATACTGTAAAATCTCCATTCCCACCCCACTCCAGGGCAAGGATACTGTAAAATCTCCATTCCCTCTCCACTCCAGGGGAAGGTTACTGCAAAATCCCCATTTCCTCCTGATCAGCTAGGACTCGGGAGGCAGAGAATAGATGGGGGCAGGGCCAGTCAGAGGTGGTATTTACCAGTTCTCTGAACTACGGAAAATTTCTGCTACTGGTTCTTCAGAACTGGTCAGAACCTGCTGAATACCATCTCTGAGTTGTATGGTTCACATCTGGCTTCTGAGAAGCAAAGTCAATGGAGAGTTTAGCAGTAAAAATCACAAGTCATGGTCATGTGATGTCACACTTAGCAACTGTGTTGTTAACTATATTACTAGCGCTGAAAAAAACTTCATAGCACACATTCTTTTTTGATGTCTTGCTTTTGGTGCTAATTGAAATGTGGGAAGCTAAGGAAGCTGCCAGGATTGACAGGCAATGTAGAGATTGCTGGAGAGATGATTGTTCAATGAAGAATACGGCATTCACATGCACCCCTTTGCAACCTCATAATTAAGTAGCTAGGAGGAACACCACCTTCCATTCATAAGCATTCTCCAATGTACAAGCATTTATTTACCTTTCCAATAAATCTCAAGTACCATTTCTTTGATCAACTTGAATGAGAGCTGATAGGAAAAAAAATACAAGAGCATTTTCCTGTATAATTTCTGTCAATGCCTACAATGAGAACTTGCCTATGGTACATCTGCTCAACCTTCTCAATTTTAAGATTATTTTTTTTCTCCTGGAGCAATGACTGGCAGCTTACTATTTGTCTCACTCGGCCCTTTGGCGCTCAATAGGTACCAGTATTAGCAGTAATGACAACTGGTGGTGGAACCAGATCCTTTACAGCAATGTATGGAAGCCTTCTGGGTTTGCAGAAACTGAATCTGTTAGACTGTATTACATACCTTACGGGTTTATCTGGCACAACATGGTAAGAAGGATGTTCTTTTCATTTACTATGTTTCATGACCCGTCCATTATATAGTGTATGTGGCATTACAATGTCACAGAACAAAACAACATGTAAGACAAAGATTTTAAAACTTTGTATCCACAACCCCCCAAATGACATATGAATTTATATCACCTCCACCTTTGCCTTGAATAAAACTACTGATTTAATTGGGATGGGTTTGGGCAAGAAATAAATATACAATTTTTACTTTAAAATTATTTTAAAATAAATGTAATTAAATTTAAATCTATTTATCAAATGAACAATACTAGAAACATACGGTTTCACAAATAATGTTTCATTGGAATTAAGTCCCCCTCCCCTCTACTAGTTAGAATTACAATTAACAACAATTTGTAGTTGAGATGTGTTACACGATTCTTAGTGTAAAACTGGAGAGTATTCTTAGGGGCAAAATATTCAGTAGAGAACCAATCACCTATTTCTCACAGCATCTTCTCTTAATGATGGTTTTCCACTCCCTCTCCCTCTCCCATTAAATGGCCCAATAGGGAAGCTATGGAAAAACCAAAGTACTGAAATTTCAGTATAGTTGATCACTATTATCAATTTAAATAAAAATACTGACACTCAATACTGAGCTTGGTGGCTTAGTAGCTAAGACGCTGAGCTTGTTGATCAGAAAGATCAGCAGTTCGGCAGTTCGAATCCCTACCACTGCGTAATGGAGTGAGTTCCCGTTACTTGTCTCAGCTTCTGCCTACCTAGCAGTTCGAAAGCATGTAAAAATGCAAGTAGAAAAATAAGGACCATCTTTGGTGGGAAGTTAACAGCGTTCTGTGCACTTTTGGCATTCAGTCATACCGGCCACATGACCACCGAGACGTCTTCGGACAGCACTGGCCCTTCGGCAGAGATATGCACCGCCCCCTAGAGTCGGGAATGACTAGCACACATCTGTGAGGGAAACCTTTACCTTTACCTATGACACTTAAAGGACAACATTATGTGGCATTTCAGATACTATACTTTGAATGCTGCCCTTTCTATGTGGGAAGCCCTGGATTACTATCCCCATTTCTCAGAAAGTCCTCTTGAGGAAGAAAAGCAGGGGAATATTATTGTATATTATTTTTAATATTATTGTAGCCCAAATTATATTTAAACCGAGCAATAGTGTCACTGTTTCTGAAAGTAAGGTTTCTATGCTGTTAGTTCCATGCTACTCTCACATTTTATTGTTATTATTTTCAATAAAAACTTAGGACCATGTGTAAATTATATGAAGATCCTGACTGGTCACAGAAGTACCTGGAAGAAGCCATTAACAAAGCCCGAAGACAAGTGATCAAATCTAAATTTAACTGTTTTTCCCCTGATAAACTGAAGTATTATTATGATGAGCTTAGTCAAAAAATCAAAGAAGGACATAGCACTTCCTTTATAGACCTCTGGGGCCTCATCATTGAGTCCATGTTTCATGATGAGGTAATAAGCCTTCGTATTAATTCATTGGGAGATATGCACAATGGATCTATGCTTTGAAAAAGAAGTAGCCTAATAGGAAAGTCCTTCTTCATATATTGCAGGGTGGTCAAACTTCTGGCCTGTGGCCAGATGCTTCACGTGCTTCCCCCCCCATTTTAGCAAAGGGAAAAAAAGGTCCGATACATCATGTGATGCCGCCATGAAGATGTGTGTTTGACACCCCTAATATCCTGTACAATTGTTTATGGAAATTAGATAAGCCATGTCACAAGCCGGGAGGGTTCTCAAAGTGGACAATAACAAATATGTAAAAGATTAATCTCTCAGCGATTATTAGCCACATCTACTTATGTTCAGAATTAAAAGTTGCATGGGTGGGCAGTGAGAGAAAGCAGTGACCTAAACAATCTGCTTTTGGGCAGCCTGGAAATATTTGCTTTTTGTAGGAACTAGAATGTTTCGTTAGATGATCTTTACATTTGCATAGCAAGGGTCTTCTAGTGTTCTTACATGAGGGTTAACACATATAAGTTCCTATACACAGGTAATTCTCCCTCTACTCCACGCCAACTTGCTTATGGTATAGCAAACAGAGAAGGACTCTATGTATCCTTGTTATGTTAAATTCAGAGTGAGTCCTCTAATAAAACTTGGACATCTGTGAACACCTGCTGATCAACATACCTATTTTTCTTCCTCTGTTCAAAGAAAGACAATCACACCCTTTCTGATCAGCGCATGGCCTTGAATGAAGGTCAGAATCCTTTCCCTATTTACTTGGCAGTGAACCTAAAAGACAACTACAGTGCTCAAGATTTTAAAGGTAATGCTGTATTAAATGAACTCTGATATGTATTGAGTCATATTATTCTGTATTAACATTTTAATTGTTTAATACTAAAATGTAAATAGGTGAGCATTTTTTCACCTTAGAAGGGAACAAATTCTCAGAGAAGGGAACAAGTTCCCAGAGTAGAATAAAATTCCCACTCCCAGGGCAAAGCAAATAAAAAAAGAAAGAACAGCTTATGTCCTTTGGTTAATTTTGTAATTGGAAATGTCTAGGACCCTGATGGTGAACTTATGGCAAGCATGCCAGAGGTGGCATGCAGAGCCCTCTCTGTGGGCATGCATGCCATTGCCAGCTGCTCTTCTGGTTTCTGATATGCTGGCCAGCTGGTCTTCATGGGCACTGGAGCACTGAAAAATGGCCCAAAAAACAGCCTGAAAATGCCCCCAAAGCAGCCCCCCAAATGCCCAAAATGCAGGCCAGTTTCCATGCCATTTGGGGCTGTTTTTTGGGCCCAAAACAACCAAACAAATGGCCACAAATGCCCCCAAAACAGGCATACACATGCTGGCCAACTGGTCTTCAGATTTCCGGCACTCTGGCACATGCATGCATATCACTGGTGGGTTTCAATTTATTTCACTACCGGTTCACTTGTGCATGTGCAGAAGTGTCTGGATGGGTAGGCGGAGCCTCCTGCCACCGCCACTACCAGTTCCCCTGATCCAGGGCAGATGTGGAGAAACCTGATGCACATGCACCTGTCTTCCGGTTTGGGTACTTGGTACCGAAAAGGTTCGCCATCACTTTCTAAGATATATTAATGGCTGTCTTGTGCTTCCAGAATGGTTAGAATTCACTCCTTATGAGGTGGGAAGTATGAAATATGGTGCCTATATTCGTTCAGAAGACTTTGGGAATGAATTTTTCATGGGACGACTGATGAAGAAGTTCCCAGAAATTCGGATCTGCTTCATGCAAGGTAAATAAATAAGTAAACCATACTGTGAACAAAAGGAAGCTATTGTGCAATGTTGTAAATTGCCTACATTACTTTTTTCCAAAAACATTATTTATTTATTTATTTATTTATTTATTTATTTATTTATTTATTTATTTATTTATTTATTTATTTATTTATTTATTTATTAGATTTATATGGCTGCCCACTCATTCTCAATGACTCTGGGGGTGACTTACAAACAATAAAAAACCAATATAAAAGAAATAACAGTAACCCATGATCCCCCACAAGAGAAGCTATGTAAGACCTTTATTTAGATGAGTCCAAACACACTGAAGTAACCCACAACAGCAGAAAAAGAAATAGAACATCTATACAACATATCCCAACAAAATGGATATCCATGTAACTTTATCAAAAAGTCTCTGACCACTCAACCCAATACAACACAACCAACACAAACCCTAAAAAGAATTCCACTGTCGTACATCAAGAATATTTCAGAAACCACCAACAGACTGCTACAATCACATGGAATCAGCATAGCACATAAGCCAACTTTCAAAACATCCTAAGCCAATCAAAAGACACCCAGAAGAAAAATCAGGAGTCATCTACAACATACAATGTAAAGACTGCAACAACCACTATTTAGGACAAGCAGGTAGAAGACTGACAGAATGCATCCATGAACACCAACTAGCAGTCAAAAGAAAATTCTTTAATTTCACAACATATAGACAGATTTAACTATAATTTCAATTGGGAAAATATGACCATCCTAGACCAAGCCAAGTCCCAAAACACCCATGAATTTCTAGAAGCCTAGCACTCTGGCAAATTAGCCATCAATAGATACATAGACATTAACAACACCCATAGACTATGCAAAAAGACTATCATCCAGCCAAAAAAGGAAGAAAAACCCAAGTACCTCTCCACCAGCAACCAGATCAGCATAGATTAATTCCAAGGTTAACATCAGACCAGCAATCAAGTAAACAATACCCCAATCAAGAAACTGCCAAAGAAGCCAACAGCAAACAACCCAATTAGAAGTGAGTTCCTACCGGTTCGGACCGTTTTGGCTGAGTAGGTAGTAACTCGCCCTGCCATGCCCCTGAAACGGTTCTATTGGCCAGGCCAACATCTTGATTTTCGGTTCTGCATATGCACAGAACTATCTTCATTGCAAAAATTTTATTTTTTCCCCTTTTCCAATGCCGTGCGCATGCACAGACCTTTTTAGGTGTGCCAAACTGGCAGTAATGACGGCAGCAACCCACCCCTGAACCCAATCAAAGAATTTCTAAGACCACCCCCATCAACACTGACAGCAAGCCACCAGAATATAAACTAACAGCAAATAGTATTCCTTACTAGCACTGATGGTGTTACCTAGTTTGAGTAATGAAACACCTGCAAGAAAACAAGTAAGTTCAGAGCACCAAGCCCCTCTCATGCCAACCCTGAGCTACAAATATTCTCCTTTATTAGTGCCTTCACCAGTCATTTAAAAAAATAATCTTATGGGTTTTACCACAGTTATATTTTATTATCTCTACTCTGTTTCCTATAAATTTCATACAAAATATTTCATGTGATTTCACTTTTGATGGGAGACAAATTGTCTTCTTTTTCATGATCAGTTGACCAAGCACTCAAAATGTGAACTAGCAATAGTGTGAGTGGTAAATGCGTAGGACATTAAAATAAATTCTTGTACATTGCATATCTATATAGACGATGATATTTTGGCAGATATAACTCAATATAGAACTTAGTGAAAATTGATTTCCTCTTAGTTGATCAGCTAATCTCCCTTTGAATACTTTCAGAATAAAATTATACTTGCCCACTCTTTGGAAGAAGGGGGCATGATGGCTAAGCAGTTAAATACCCTGACCTTGTCAGCTGGAAAGTGCGGCACAAGGGGAGGGGGTGAGCTTCCCAGCAGTTTGAAAGTGTGCAAATGCAAGTAGATAAATAGGTACCACTTTGGTGGGAAGGTAAGAGCATTCTGTGAGCCTCCGCATATAATCATGCTGGCGACATCCCTGCAGAAAGGATCTTTGGACAACACTGTCTCCCTCAGCTAAAAAACAGAGATGAGTATCACCCTCTAGAATCAGGGATGACTGGACAGGGGAAACCTTTACCTTTGCTCTTTGGAAAGTTTTCTCCAAGTGTATTAATCTGTACATGTGCTTGAATACTATTGTGTGGAAAATCTTCATTCAGGACTCAGAAATGATATTTGGGTTTTGTAATGAAAGATGGTTATATATATAAAAATGCTTCTGTACACAGAGTGAACACTTTTTTCCTTTTCCAAGAATGTGAGTCCTGGGATAATACATGGATTTATTGTTTTCTGTCTGTCTGTTCAGTAGTTTTTCCATAGGTATCTAAAACAGCTACAAGGATTAATGACTTCGTTTTTGTAATTGATCAAGTTATAAAGCCTTTACAGTTGTCTAAAATATATTTGTGTAACCTAACAATTCTTGATTAGAAATATCTGGAAAACTCAGAATGAGGGTAAAAGCGGCAATCTGAAATGTTAAGTGCAGTGGAAATGAAACAATTTCATTTTGACACCTTCAATTTAAGAATTTATTTACATTTATTAAACCAATTATTTAAATATATTTGACAGGTATGTGGAGCAGTATCTTTTCTTTGGATTTAATCTATTTCTGGAATGTAGCTAATGACTCAGAAGAATTCTGGTATATGTGGACAAGAGACAGAATACAAGACATTGGTAAGGTGATTTCTTTTTTCCCTTCTTGTCTTTCCTGGTTGGTAAATGTGTTATTGTTCTCCTACCTTTATTAAGATTAATAAGGGTAAGAAGGGACATGTTTCTGTATTGATTTTATTGATTTTTAATTTAGTTAAGTTTGGAAATGCTTGCAAAGTTTTCGCCATTATTTTGACAAGTAGAGTGAAATACCTGGTCCTTTTCATCACTAATCCATAATGATGTTTTTAAAAATTTTCTTCTGTTTTTAACTCCACATATGGTCAGAATACATGATACCATTGCTTGAAATATGTTGTTTAAATTAGCTTTTCTCAACCAGATGCTTTCCATGCTGTCTGGGAATTCTGGAAATTAAGTCCTAATACACTTGGAAGAGGATGCTTCATAGAAGGAAACTGTTTGAAATATACCTCTATACATATTGTTGTATTGTGGTTGTTGTTTATCCAAATATATCTTGCCCTCCCCCCCAAGTAACTACAGTTTAGATATCTGCCCTTCATCAACCAGTGATAAACCATGGTTTGCCAAGGTTTTGATCCAGTCTTTCCCAACTTGTCTCTTTGACCATGTATCTTTTAATTTGGTATGCTAAAGTTTCCTTCTTTTCATACTGCATACCTGCTAGAATGTTCATCTAGTAATGCTATTTTAGAGGCTCTGTTTTCTAGTCAAACTATCAGGAATTTGGCAACTAAGTCACAGTCTGGCTAGTTACCTTAGAAAGCTGTAATAACAATAGTCCCTAACCACCTCTACAGCTATCTTTCTCTGTGAAAGTCCATGACTCTCCAAGATTTTTGGCACTATAATATTTATTTTTTTGCCATTGCAGTATTTATTATGCAAATAAATATACAAATATTTGAATGTGAACATTGAGAACCCTCTTTCTGCACAAAACTTTGCCACAATCTGTTGGACCTCCTATAAACTGTGATCTTATTGGTGCCCACATTCTAAAGCCTGAGTATAGACACAAGGCATAAACAGTTCTTTCTCTCTTTTACAGATGATTCTCTTCCACCTTCAAAGCCACATGAGCTAGACTCTTGTCTAGTCACTTACCAAAGTCAGCTTTCCTTAATTGTACGAGATGTCCTAACTGGACGCCCAACAATAGCACAATATCCTAATTTCCTGAGGGGCTTTCAGTTTCATGATGAATACTTGAAGAACGTCCATTTTTCTTCGTGGAAAGGCACAGTATTAAACTTACATTTGGGATTTATCTTGGCTTCATAAAGTGTTCTTAGTATAATATTTAATTGGAATGTAGCTAGCCAGTTCCACACTTGTGAATGGTGATCTTTTCTTTCCACATCTCACCAAGGATAATGGATAATGTAGCTTAGTGTTAAATGACCTACCAATTCACTGAAGTTCTGCTTCACTTCACAAGGCCTTATGGAAGGACTGTCTCAATCTAAACCTAACTATTTGTCCACTGAAAACATTTTGGAAGTGGAATGGCAGAATATATATTAAATGAAAAATAAGTTGAGCATCTTTTGCTGCTTCTGCTTAGATGATATAGCACTTTATTTGTATATGTTGTTTGTGGTTGCATTTGTTCTTCATGGGAATATTTGTAGGGCAGTAGTGCGTTGCAATCAGTACTCCCCAGTAGGGGCGTACCAGAGCCTGCCTGGAGCACCGGGTACCGTTCCAGTACAGTGCTCCAGAGGGCCCCGCCCGCCCATGCTCCTTACCTGTCTTTAAAGTCTTCGGCACTTCAATGGGATCCGGAACCAACCACTGCTGTAGGGTATGATTTCAAAAGTGACGTTGGCCACTATGATGGTGCAACACAAAAAGATAGATACAGCTCCCAGACCACTGTAGTAGCTGCTATCTTTAATTTTGAGTTTGGTACTTTAACAACAACAACACCCCCCATCTACTTTAGATTTCTCTTCAATATAGGAAGCAGATGCTTATCTCATCACAGCATTTTAAAACAATATCTACATGTCTGTTTTCTACAAAATCCTCATCCAATTTTTCAGGATTGAAAATACTGCTGCTAGTTAATTCTTTTTCACTTGAAAAATTGGGTTAAAAAGTTTCAAAATAAATAATTGGAATCCAAACATTAGATTTAATTTACAAATAGTGTATTCATATTATAAGATGAAATGGAAGTGTCATTTACTAAATAAACTAGATCAGTAAAAATATCCTGTTATCCTCCAAGGAAGTTAACATATTTTTTTAGATTTTTTAAGATTTTATTTATTATTTATAGGCCGCCCTTTTCCCTGAGGGGACTCAGGGCGGCTTACAATTCATAGGAGGGGGTGTGCAAGACAAAACATAAGACAGTACGTGAATAAAAAAATAAACAATAAAACATAACTTTCATTCAACATTCGGGTGGGGCGGATTAGAATCTTTATCCCCAGGCCTGACGGGATAGCCAGATCTTAAGGGCTGTGTGGAAGGTCTGGACGGTGGTGAGGGTGCGAATCTCCACGGGGAGATCGTTCCAAATGGTTGGAGCTACTACTGAAAAGGCTCTCCTCCGCGTAGTCGCCAGTCGGCACTGACTGGCGGATGGAACTCGGAGGAGGCCTAATCTGTGCGATCTAATAGGTCGAAGGGAGGTAATTGGCAGGAGGCGGTCTCTCAAGTACTCAGATCCACTACCATGGAGGGCTTTATGGATGGTAAGTAGCACCTTAAAGCGCACCCGGAGATCAACAGGTAGCCAGCGCAGCTCGCAGAGGATAGGTGTTATGTGGGCGAACCACGGTGCGCCCACAATCACTAGCGCGGCCGCATTCTGGACTAGCTGAAGTCGCCGGATGCTCTTCAAGGGCAGCCCCATGTAGAGCACATATAGCAGTACATAAATCATTCTGTGCCATTTTTAGGCAGGGCTGCAAACTCTTGCTTAAAATCTTGGAGAACCTCTGGTTGATATCCATATCATCAACAGATGGATCAATTATCTGATTTACTAATGCACCATTTCCTGTATTCATACATGCACAAATTCCATTGGACTGGCAGATAATTATGTTTGCTGAATTATATTTGACTTAGTCAGAGTACAATTTTCTGGTCAGATCATAGCTTCAGAACTCAACTCTAAGGCTAGATTTCTGGGATTAAAAAAACCCAGATGACTATTCAGTGAGGAGTTTAAAGTTTCCATTTTGTTTGTCAAATTTAGAAACTACTTATCTCCCTCACATTTATCTCTTTGTCGTCATCTAGATGCAGCCATCTATATTTTTGCATCTCATTTCTAGTTTTTATAAATCCAGTCCAAATCCTACCAATAAATTGAATTAGGTTTCCTTCATGTCCAGTTGCAGTAGAAAACTGTGCTTTATTATGAGAACTGAAATAAATTTTCATTTGGCTTCAAGATGTAAAGTAGAACAGGGGATGTTATCTTGTCCTTCAAACCAGGTAGCAAAACTGAACATTTTTCTAATTAATACTGTAATTCTATAGAATAGAATAGAAATAAAAGATAGTTATTTGCCACTTAGAATTTAATCTAAGTAATCTATAGACACTTGCTCAAAAAGTAACTAATACTATAGATGCTGTTACACACTTCAAGAGTACTTTAAGCCTACAGAGGACTATAACTGATTCTAGCCTACCTCCTTGAGGTACCTGCTTTAATCAAGCTCCATTTGCTTTAATAACAACATATTATCATGCTATTAATAAACAAATGGACAGAATAATTGATGTATGTGTTGTGTTCCTCTTCCAAAGGTGGCACTCTTTAAGGAATGTGGTTGTTTAAAATTACAGGACTTGGAACTGCAAAAGAAAACTAGTAAATAGGAAATTTGGAAGCTAGGAGAGGGAATATTTCAAATATCTATTTCATACAGGGTCTTTCTAGAACCAAGGTAGACAACGTGGAGGCTTAGAACCATATGATGGTCATAAAAACGTATGTCCCTACCTAATAAACATTTAAACTTCTAAAATTTGGGGTGCATCCTCTAGAGATCTTCAGAAGTTTTTGCCTTCCTGCAATGCTAAATATAAAAAGAAGAAAATGTTGTTTAAAATATAGCTGGAAAATAACTGCACTTACTCTACTATAATGAATTTTAAGGTATAATTATAAACAAAATGAGGTTGTTGTCTTACCACTCCTGCTCTGTTTTAGTATATTTTTGAGCACTCCTTGAACATTACATGCAGCCAATGGCCCAAGAGAAGTTGTGTACTCTAGAGAATGTTGACTGGAAATCTCTGTTTTTCAGATTCTGTCCTGGACTCTCTACCTAACCTGTTGATGGAAACAGCAGAGCAACCTTTGTCTCTGGTGGATACTGGGTTTTTCATCAATACAAGCTACCCTCCTCTTTTAAAACCAGAAAGGAGAGTGGATGTTATACTACATTTAAATTATAGTGGAGGAGCACAGACTTTTGTAAGGGACAAAATTATTTATTTATTTTGCATTTCAGTCAACTCTGAACGCCATGATATTTCAAGAGCAACTTAATTTCAGAAGAGATATATTTCCCTCTTTTGTACTAACAAATTAGCATAAATTACATACGTTTTTTAAAGGTCAAAGTTTTACATTGCTTTGAATTCTTGTTTATTTTGGGAAAGATTTATTAATTAAATGAAGAATGTGGCTAGCCCAGAGTATGTTAATTCTAAACAGGATAGAGTTTTTTTTTTCCTGTAGAAATTTTTTGAGTTGGAATTTCTATGGAACTTGGTATTTGTGGGTGTGATAAGTACTGTTGACAAAGCTTTATAGTATTCTGGATTGTAAGCAGTGTATTATAATTCATCATCTGCTTTTCTTCTCTTACTATATTGTAACCATAACAGTTTCCTATCTGTTAAATATGGACGAGATATATCAATTATTATTCCTACAAATGGTACAAATATTGCAGATATTCACTATGACTGTATATATTCGAAAATGTTTAGAAATATTCAAGTTTAGACTTTTATAGGTTTTCAATAAGGATGATCCAGAGAGTTATGATGTTACTGTTTGTTTTTCTTATGTTGCACAGTTCCTAGGATACCATTTCCAAGTTCCTAAATATTTATGTAATTTTTTGGTCCAGAGTTCACCTGTAGGATTTGTAGCTTATACTTTATTATGATCAACAATCCACTTTAAGATATTAACTCATATGAAGCTGAATTCTTGGGGATACTGTATATGATGACATGTTTAACCACTACCCCACAAAACTAAGACCCAGTTTTGATAAAATGGATAATATTAGTATTTGAATCACAAAATAGAAGCTTTTTGTAATAATGATCTCCAAATGAGGTACAGGTAGTTCTTGACTTACGACTACAATTGAGCCCAAAACCTCTGTTGTTAAGTGAGGCATTTATTAAGTGAGTTTTGCCTCATTTTATGACCTTTCTTGTCACAGAAGAATCACTGAAGTTAAATTAATCTGGCTTCCCCATTGATTTTGCTTGTCACAAGGACAAAAACGGTGATCACACAACCATAGGATATTGCAACTGTCATAAATATGAATCAATTGCCTAGGACCTGAATTTTGATCATGTGACCATCGGTATGCTTCAACAGTAATGAGGAATGGTCTGATGCCACTTTTTTCAATGCCGTTGTAACTTTGACCGGTCACTAAATGAACTGTTGTAAGTTGAGGACTACCTGTATATCCTTGTAAAAGTTACACAGCAATACTAGACAGTATGTAGCACCATGTGTTTATATGCTCTGTTTATTTATATTTGTTGGTTCATAGTTAATTTTTCTTAATACTTGACCATGACACTTATTGATAATTTAATCACATAGAACCTGGACCAGTTTTCAAAATATGCCTCTGAACTGGGAGTCCCATTCCCTAAAACAGAGATAAGTGAGGAAGACAAAAACAACCTGAAGGAGTGTTACGTTTTTGAAGACACAGAAAACACAGCTGCTCCTTTAGTCCTATTTTTCCCCCTGACTAATGATACTTTCAAAGCATTTGAAGCACCTGGTAAGTTCTGAAAGAATATTTTGTTTCCCAGCATGGAATAATAAGATAGTTATTACCTTCCTAAGACAATTCAAACTAACCCACTGTACTTAAACATTCCTTTTATTTATTACTCATATTGGGATCACTATATCCAAAAGATGAATTGACCTTGTGTCACCTGCATTTAAGCAGGTAATCAAATAATTGTTTTTGGCTTCATTGGCTTCATTATGCAGCCAATCCTCCAATTAATATTGTACATAATGGTACACAGTATGACTTTATGTATCATGCTAAATCATGCTTTGTTTTATCCCTAGTTTTGCTAAATAAGCTAAGTCGTCATGTTAAGTGCTGTGCTTGGTAAATGATAATACTGTGATATGGTCCTAAACATAACAGCATCCTAAATTTAATTTGCAAATCAAGCAAGTCTTTTTCTTTTTCCACTTTTTGTTCCTAATTTTCATTGATCAATGTAATGACAAAGAAAAACACTTGAAAATGAAGGCGGTACAAAATCCCATATTGGCAAAGTAAAATATTTTGCATTACCAGGCGATATCAATTTAAGCATTTTCTTGGATGCTTGAAGAGCCAAGGTGGCGCAGTGGTTAAATGCAGCACTGCAGGCTACTGCTAGATCAGCAGTTCAGCGGTTCAAATCTCACCGGCTCAGGGTTGACTCAGCCTTCCATCCTTCCGAGGTGGGTAAAATGAGGACCCAGATTGTTGGGGGCAATATGCTGACTCTCTGTAAACCGCTTAGAGAGGGCTGAAAGCCCTATGAAGCGGTATATAAGGCTACTGCTATTGCTATAATCTCAAATTGTTGAGTTGAATATTTTTTCTTCACATACAATTCTTTACATCTGTCATTTCAAGGTGTCACATTATGCTCAGATTATAGCATTAAAAATATGTCCAAAAGTCTAATATGACTGTTTTTGCTACTGTAGACTGAAGCAAATATGCCTTTAGACATTGAGTAGACTGTTTATATTATACATGATACATACAGAATCTTAACCCTAACCCTCTAAACAATAAATGTGGCATCTCATGGTGACTTCCTTCTTCCTCCTTCATTAAAAGATCTGCAAAAGGGTTCCATTTTCAAATCTTTCCAAAAATTATGAGTGAGGATAGTATTCATATTTCTGGAGTTACAAATTTGTTCTGTGTATAGGAAATAAGAAAAAAATGTTCCCTTTCCTTCTTGTATTATTCTTAGGGTGATATCTTCAGCATCACCATTCTGGCTAAATGTACTGGAAGAATTAGTTTTACTTGTAGTCTTTGAAATACCCAAGTATCCTGGAATATTCTGGGAACAGGAACAGTGGCTACAGAATACTATAAAGCCAGAATATTTTATCAGTCAAATGGATAACAATATCTCCCCAACATAAAAGACAGTTGGATAAAAGGGATCAAAGAGACCTGTCTTAATGTATTTCCTGATAAATAGAGTGTTAAACAAGTGCATTCTTGTTTCCTAGATTCCTAGTTTCTATTACCTAACTGTAAAGTCCTCGACTTGTGACCGGTCTAAATTCCTCAACCTACGACCGGCCGCAAGTCCTTGATTTATGAATGACAGCCCGGCAACCAAGGGGGTGCCTATTGGTTAAGATTTGCCTGGCTGGAAGCAGGCTTTTTGCTGTGTTACTATTGGCCGCTCTGCTTGACAGCTCTGGTATAAATAGCCATCAAGCAGAGCGGGGTGCTGAAGTTGTTACCTTGCTGTTTTCTTGCTGTTCTGTTCAATAAAGTTGTTGAAAGTACCTCATTGAGTCCGACACCTATTTCTCAGTCCAGTCTTCAATACTAACCCCTTTACTTTCAATAAATCTGACTGATGAAATTCTATGAGAAGTTTGTATTATTGAGTATGAGTTACAGCGGAGACTAAGTGCCATCTATGATCACTGTGGATAAATTTTGATGTGATTCTGTAGTATTGTACTCTTACTGAAAACTAATTTATAAGGACCCCTATATTATGTTTATACAAGAGAATTAAATACTAGTGTTTAAATAAGGCTGATGGTACTAAATCTATCAGATTCAGTGACTGATTTAACTGAATATTCACAATCATATCCTAGATCAACCTTCCCTGAGCAGGAATAAAACTGAAATCCAATAATCTGAAAGGTACCAGATTGGAAACACCTATCTTAAACCTTATGCTTTATTGATGAAAGTGTTGCTTTTTTAAAATTTTATTTTAGGTGTGGAACGTTTGCCTACTAATATGGAAGAGGGCAATGTGGATGTCTCCAGCTTCTTTTCCCCATTTGGTACAAGGGAGGTGAGCTTCTCAGAGGACAATTTTGACAAACTGGTGAAATTAGCAGAATACAACATTCTCAACAATGAAGACAAGATCATTGAAGCCTTTCATGCTGCAGTGCAGAGGAAAAAATATCAGAAGAACCAGAAGTAATAGATATCAGTAATACATGATGTGGTGCACAGTTCCAAAATATTAACCCCTATTAATTTAGGAGCAAATATAGTGTCTAATATATGTTAATATGTTAATGGTTGTAACTGGTAGACTTCTAAATAAAATGCATTTTATTTTTTAAAAAATGGCTTCCAATGTAATTAATTAGCTGAGATTGAGGTCATGCTGTCTTTTTAGTTGCATAAATCTGACACTTCCTTTCTGTTTTTGACCAATGTTCTTTTCCTTTCTGGTTCTATTTGTAGTTAGCAGAGGTTATTCTGGACTGCTTTGATATGTATTTAATAGAATTTATATTCTGATGTAGTCTGACAACATCCAATGGTTTTACAAGATATGCAGAGAGATTAAAATCCCCATAATTATAATATAAACAAAAATGAGCCAGTTTGGTGTAGCAGTTAAGGCATCAAGCCAGAAACTAGAGGATTGTGAGTTAGAGTCCTGCTTTCGGCACAACATCTTGGGTGATCTTGGGCCAGTCACTTTCTCTCAATCCAAGAAGGAGCCAATGGCAGACCATTTCTGAAAAACCTTGATAAGTAAACTGATGGACTTGTCCAGGCAATCTCTGAGAATCAGACATGATTGAACCGAAGAAATGAGACACTACATAATAAAACATGTATCACAGAATTAACAACCATGTATAACATAAAAATAACAGTTAAAATATGGCATAGTGCGTAAGTGTCACTGGAATTTGTGCTGGAAAAGCTCAGTTTTTAACAACCTTCAAAAAGTATGATTTTACTTTGATCTCCACAGGGAAACCATTCTACAGTTTGGGACTGCCACTGAAAAGACTGCCTTCTGACTTCAACTCTTATTGCTTCCTAGAATGGTGGGATCACAAGATTTCTCCCTCAAAGGTCTAGTGGGTCAGGCTGATTTAGAGAAAGTGATCCTGTGAACCAGGTAACAAGTCATAAAGAGCTGTATATAGTCAAATCAGCCCTCTGTCCAGAACTGAGTTAGTAATCAAGGCAAGGTCTATTGCATTTACATGCTCCCAATTTTTGGAGCTTCTTAACACAGAGGCCAAAATGTTCTGGACCAGCAATTAGCTTGTGAATTACTATAATTGGGTCTTCCTGTACCAGGTAACGCCACAGTTGGTGTGCCAGCCAAAACTGGTTAAGTCACAATGGACACATAATGTTACATAAAGTGTTCAAACAGGATCTATGATTGCAGAAGGATCCCAAAATTGTAAGCCTGTTCTTTCACAGACAACACTTGCCTGCCCAGAAATAAGTTCTCATTGACTACAACTTTCTACTGAAGAACAAAAACACTGTAAGGCATGGGCTTAAATCTCTAACCCCTGTAGATGGCCCAGTAACACAGCCACTTTAAATGGTATCAAAAAACACTTAGAGATATAAGAAGACCAGGAGAGTACAGCATTCCATCCATGTCTTGACAACGATCACCCAGTAGAAAGCTAAAACCATCTCAGTTTGATATTTGGGCCTGATAAAAAAGAATCAGTTAATCCACTTTTTAAAGGGTGCTGTGGAGCTTATATGCCACCAATGTCTCTTCCCCTCCACTCCAGTCTAGTGATTCTCAATAGATCAGGATATGATCTCACCACAGCAAAAGGGTAGTGGAAATCCATTTTCTCTCCAAATCTAGAACTCAGCTTCACACAGACACAGACACGCACACAGACACGCACACACACTCACACCACAAAGGCAAGGTATAACATGTGACCTTCATTTATCAGGCTTGGATGTTATCAGAATCATGTCCCCAAAACATAGATGTTGAAGCTCTTCAGGAAAGAGCACTAACCCAGAGACCATCTCTATCAATCCACGAAGAGCTCTGTCAGGCAGCAGAGTGGCTGATACACCAGCAGAATCTCAAGGTCATCTCTACAACCCAACCTATCATATAGACATTCACATTCTGCATGGTGGGAGCAGAATAAGTGACCACAGAGTGATTTGTTACTGTAACTTACCAACTCCTATTGAGCCTGCTGAAGTATTTGATATACAATAGGGTAGATTTCAGGCAAGGCAACATCATAGCCATTGCTCAGCCAGATTTTGGTAATGCATGCCAGCTCTGCTTCTTCATCCACCAGCAAGTCATGGATAGAGGGGGTTTTGTTACAAACAAACCTGGCATTAAACACCAGTACTTTGAGATCAAGATATCCAGCAATTTGGCAACCTGTTTCTAGATTGGAGCCATAGGGTGGGAAGACACGATAACCAGCTAAATTGGAGGTCACCCTATTCTTATAGTGGCCACCCCAGGGGTCAGCAACCTGCAGCTCTGGAGCCACATGTGGCTCTTTCATCCCTCTGCTGCAGCTCCCTGTTGCCGATCAGCTACACAATTGATAGGGCTTTCAGTTAGGAAAGGTAGAGAAAAAAGGATGCCACACTAGGAAAAGATTCTATGGTGGGGGAACCGGACTTCCAGTCGGTAGAGGAAAAAGGATGCTGCACTAGGAGGAGACTCTATGGTGGGGGTACCTGCAGATGCAGGAATATTAATATTAAGGATTTCTGGCCAGGGGCACTGTGCCTTGTGTTTTTATTTTATTAGGAACTGATATTTAGAAATATGTCTCCTGAGACTTCATCTTGCAAGCTGAAAGGGCATATTATCCAGGAAGCAAGACAACAATTTTATAGTCTCTTTTGAAAAACAACACATGAGACTTGTGACCCTGATCAGCTATAAGTAACTATGCTGTCACCTAGTGATTGGTGTATGTAATGACACTATCCACCAGGATATTTTCATCCCACTGTCATTTTTCGTACAACTAGTTTGGCAGGTTTTTTTCAAACATCCCTAAACTTTAAAACAAATAAGGTACAAACACAAGAGAAAGTGAAAACGTTTTGCTACTATTATTCCACCTTCAGCTCTGCGTAGATAAAGTACATTTGGAATGATGCACATGGCAGAGGCAATTCATAAGAGTATGTGCAAAAACACTGTGGGGTCCTTATTCTCTGAGCTTGGTGAAATAGTAATCATCTATTTCCAGTCTGACGGAAAAAAAACAGGACAAAGTCTTCCTGGTTAGATACAACCCAATCTTAGATTCATTCTTTTCTAATTTTTAGAAGACTGCTTGTATTCTTCACCTGTATTCTTTGTTTTAACCAAAGTTTTGGCTTACTTTTAACTATAAGAAAACAAGCCTTTCACACCTTTGATTCTAGTTTCCTCAATTTGTTTGGACAAGAAAGTGCCATGCACATCATTAGAGTTCCTTGCCTGGATATCTTGTCTAGAATCCCATTCTTAGGTTAAAGAAAACCATCACCCTCTTTTTATTGTAGCTATGTTTCACCTGATTTTGAGTATATGAAATGAAAAAGATGATTTTGTATGTTGTTGTTTTGTTCAGTCACTAAGTTGTATCTGATTCCCTGTGACCCCATGGCTCATCAGGCTGCCTGTCTTTCACTGTCTCCTGGAATCCACTCAAACTTATGTCCACTGTGTCGATGACAATATCTAACATCTCATCTTTTGCTGTTCCCTTCTCATTTTTCATTCAATTTTTCCCAACATCATGGTCTTTTTCCAATGATGCTTTATATGAGATGCACAAATGTATGTTTGATGAAGCCTCTGATCACTACAGGGCCTTCCTGTGTAGTCCTGCTTCTGCTGTACATTTGAACTTTATTTGCATTGTTGTTGAATGAAATAAAGTGGGAAGGAACCCAAGGCAGGAGAGAGGGTGAAATAACACAATCTCTATGATATAAAAAGTAAACCAGTTTCTAGATTTCTACTTCCGGAGTTCTTGAAAGCTGCCTAGAGGAATCAGGGGAAGTCAAATAAAGAAAGCTTTTGTATGCTATTGTGACAGAAGCTCTGTCCCTTTTGTCATTTATTGTGTCCTTGAGTGTGCATATGAAAGGGATGCAAAGTTGCATCATGATAGTGTGATGCTGCTTTAGTCATTTTGAGGAAAGCATTGGACCCTTTTGTCGCCTCTGAGCTAATATTGATTTTTGGCAGCATATGTAAGTTCTAAAATGTCTAAGTTACTTAATGTGTTACCTGACCAGGTCTTTATCCAATACAACCAATGTTTATCAGAAATTATGGTAAAGTAATATAGAATGTAAAGTGTAAAGAGACACGGTGGCTCAGTGGTTAAGACACTGAGTTTGTCAGTCAGAAAGGTCGGCAGCTCGGTGGTTCGAATCCCTAGGGCTATGTAATGGAGTGAGCTTCCATTACTTGTCCCAGCTTTTGCCAACCTAGCAGTTCTAAAACATGCAAAAATGCAAGTAGAAAAATAGGAACCACTTTTGGTGGGAAGGTAACAGCGTTCCGTGCACCTTCAGCATTTAGTCATGCCGGCCACATGACCATGGAAACATCTTCAGACAGCGCTGGCTCTTTGGCTTTGAAACGGAGATGAGCACCGCCTCCTAGAGTCAGGAATGACTAGCACATATGTGCGAAGGGAACCTTTACTTTTACCTTATATACAATGTAAGAGTGCATTGACATAAGTGTGAAGAGTAGAGATGTCCATCCTTTCCTTGAATTGACCTCATGGAGTCCGAATTGGGTCTCCTCTTCTAGAAGGCTATCTGCTTCCACCATCTTCTGAAGTTAGTTGGGATAGGTTTTGCCTTCTCTGTATTATCTTGATTTTCTGCTTTTTTATTATTATTTTCTTCAATTGCTTTATATAATTAGGAGCACATTCAAACAAAGATGCATGTGTTTAAAAAATTATTTAACCTGTTTAAGGTTAACTAATTCAACATTCATTAAGAGGTCACAACTTCCTTCACTAATGTTATAAATTCCATTATGATCATCATTGTTTTTCTCATCAATTTTATTTATGTTGTACTTTTCTGACCAGTGTCAGTGAAGCTGCAAGTGGATGTTTGGTATGCTGCTTCATTGCTCTTAGCAAAGTAGTTTAATGAAAGCGATTGCTTCACTTTTATGAAAATTAAGTG